TACCTGAAAATCATTTCCGTATAGATTTTATTTCCACGTTGCATTATCAATGAAGCTAGGAATTTCATTTTACTTAAAGGTGGGTGCCTATTGTATCTTTTGGGTGCTCGAGCGGGAGACAATACTATTTAGTTATCACCTACGTTGTTTCAATGTAGGCACCTGCTTTGTTAAAAGTAGACATTTTTTTCTTTTCGAAGTAGACGCCGCAACGCGTACTATCTGCGTTCACGACCGCATTTTCAAGGATAGAATAGGCGGGCGCGTAATTTTGTATAGAATGCTGCATCAGTACGCATTATCGTACTATACATACAAATGCCGCCACAATTGTGCTTCATGCACACGTACACTGATGGCCATACTTGTGACTTTAATGTAAACAATGATGAGTCAGCCACACTGAATGGAATAACTAGAGCAATCTTCCAAACAAAAAACAACAACAACATATTGTGAGGCATTCAATAATATATCACGCCGACAGTGCGTACCTGCTGCGTACAGACCAACACTTTGTTGGGCCAACCATATTCATGGTATTTATATATCATCACGCGTGCGTTGTTGCTTAGAGTAATATCTTGTATGCTTTGATTCCATAGCGCTACCTGTGATCGATGAGGGCGAAAGCAAGTGATATCTGTTCTCTTACGTTTTGCCCCATGCACACGGGAAATCCCTAACAGTGTATTAGACCTGTGAATTTGTGCACTAGAAAAGAGTGAGTGAACGCATGACACGGTTCTTTAGAAGTAGAACCAAGTATCCTTTTATGTACACAACCTGTGGGAGCGTTATTGCATACTCAATAACCGTATCAGTCAACTTCTTGCTTGATCTTTCTTTAACGCTTATATTAGAATTATTATCAGTCTTGTCTACACGACCAACGGTTACGGTAGTTGCTACCTTTTGAAGCAGCTTAGGATTGGCTAAATACGGTATTTATGACAGACACAGGTCCCATGACTACCCTTCTACTCAAACAGCTCCACCTTCTGGTGATACCTGACCATTCCAAAACCATTCTATACGTATGCTACAATTTTCATATAATCACATTTCATCGTATCTGTAGTCAAAAGGTCATCTACACACTCCAGACACTCCCGATGATTGCTACTTAATATACGTTTGGTTGCTGCCTACCTACTAAAACAAACGGCTAGGCCAGCTTCCGTTTGGCGATTTGCGTTGGCGATCTGCACAATGTAGTCCAGGCAGCTATCATCAATGATTTGGACGATGATGGAGTAGACAATCTCCTTCTCACGGTCGGTTGCAGTATTGAAAACGGCCTTCTACCTCTCACTCTTGTATCAAGTGTATGAAATAGTTGTACTGTGATGTTCCTGCAGGTCAGCCCCTCTCCCTATTTAAGTGTGCAGTCCCTCATCACACTCATCACACGGGCGAACATTACACTTACATTGTACTATGGTCTACATCCTATCGATATGTATTCAACCGATGCGTGTACACGTGTTATAAGAAGAGCTTTAGGGCTACCTGTGAGCATTCTAGACATAGATAAACCTCTTTTCATATGTTTATAGCCTCTGAAACTCTTATATACACAACGAACCAAAACATTTATCAGTACAGTGCCATTTCCGAGATGTTTTGAAATATTACTTAAAAACGTGTATGCAAAAAAAATAATTTCAAGAGGAATCATTTTGAGGTATAGTGTTTGGTTACGATTCGTTAAAATTGCCTCTTAGTTGGTGGTTTGTGATATAAAAGTTGATTCTCTTTGTAAATAAACAGAAATCATTGGGCTTCTTTTCCAATTTTTACTATTATCAAATATTTTTGCTTCCAAATATTTTTACTTCGAACAGATATTCTGCTTTTGGTATATCAGTTTTTGATTTCTCTCTTCCCCCATGGCATCAGTTCAGCTGAATTGACAGTGTTTTTTGTGCTATAATAAACTTCCGAAAGACTAGTTGTAAAAGTAGATAAACCTGATGAGACAATCAGGAAAAATGGACTAAATCGAGAGAAAACACACGCGAATGTCACCATCGCAGCAAGTTTAATCGCACTAAATTGCTTATTTATTCAAGCGCAATAGGTATGAGAAGACTAGTTGCGGTCAACGTGGCTGGCTAGTCCGCGCCGTAGTCTTCTCGCCGGCCGAGCGTTCAAACAAGGCCAACCGGCGCATTTTTCCATTCGTCTCGATTTCATATCTCGCTTTCATCTGTGCGAGTGATTTGTCACGCGCCGCCTGTTTCCTAAGTGCCATAATTTCTTTGGCATTTGTTGTCAGTGTTACCGTACCACCCTTGAATTCGGTTGTGGTGGAATTACTTCCGAGTATCGAACTCTCAGAATTGGTGACATCAGAAGACATCCCTGAGTTGAATATTCCTCCGGCCGGGATTCTGTGGCAACGTGCAATTTGAAGGGAACGGCTTTGAATTCTAATTCATATACGCAACAAGCGGGGAAAAAATGGGTACATTACACGAAATATGAAACATTTGTGTATATCCTCACATCACCCAAATGCCAGATCGGCATAGACCGGACGGGACACAGTCGCAACGGACATCTGCTCAGAAGACACACCTCACGCCTCTCAGGCTCATAATCGATCGCTTGTCCGCACAAAGTGCACACAGGGCTGACTTGGGCGACTTCACACCACCCCGCATGCGCATCGTAAGGGGGTGTGTATGCAGGTGTCTGGGTTGGGACGTGTTTCTGTATTCATCGTCCTCAGTGTAGACTGTGCATTCGGGATCGGCCCGTTTGAGGCAAGTGGTGTGGTACCCGTGGCGACAGGCGAAGATTACGACCGAGTGTTTTATCTGGCGATCAGAAGAAATGAGAGTGGATGAATATATAATTTTCTCAGCCAGGCAACTGCATTGTAAGATATTTACGATCGCCTCATTGATATTCCAACGTACACATATTTTACTGAGGATGTGGCCTTCAGCGAGCCAAGCTTACTATTCGCTTACGTCAGGACTCGATACCACTATCAGCCTTCCCCAGCACATAAACTGTTAACGAACTGAAGATATCGGAAAATCATCATATAGTACAGGCCGAGATGAAGCGATCGTACGAAGTGTTTGGATGACAAGATGTGTCTGCTGCCATTTACAGACATGCATATCAAATGGGGCTAAGTCGCTGGAAACGAACTCCGCATTCCAGATAAATACAGTAAGTAGCACCACCAGGCATATCCACTCACATATTACTACCACAAACGGTTTCTGGTGAGAAGCAAACCGAGAACTGCACGATTAACACCCGCGTATATATGAATCCTATGCCCTTGAGCGAGTATGAAATTCACGCGCCTTGCTGTCTATACGGCCTGCTCGTATAACGTAGCGACGAGTAGGATATCGTATGCACTGACATATCTGCTGAACGCAACAATACTAGACGCTCAACTTACACACACATATATGACGCTATATGGAACTTTGACACACGCGTGGGCCTGAAAGATGGACGCTGAACTTACACACAAACACATTTGGTATTATATGGAGTATCGGCACACGCGTGGGCCTGAAAGCTAGGTGTTAGGTGTTAGCTGCTTACCGATTGCCTACGTTGCTTCTTGAGGGCTCTGTACAGCACAAAGTTAGAGTCATGATCGGACGTGTCCGAGGTGTCATCCGAGGTGTCAGACATGGGCACGGCCTTGGATTGCCTGTACCAAATAGGGGTTGAAGTTTAGGGTTTCGGGTTTCGGGTTTCGGGTTTAGGGTTTAGGGTTTGGGCAATGCATTAGTGACAAGGTATGGTACTGTCATGGCCAATTAGCCTAGCCTGTCTGTGCACGCGAGAGTTGAGAGTGGGCGAATGGCCCGACGTTTGCAACTGAGTACGAGGGATGCATAACCGCGAGTTGCCTTGGACTGTTCTTTGTCTTGCACTGGATATGCTCGAAAGCTATAGCACGAGTCACGACATCTGGAGGTGACAGACACTTTTGAACGCCAGTGCAACGGGCTGCGCACACAAAATAGAAGTACGTATTTGTTGGTGGTACGGGCATGTCAGGGTAGTGAAGGTTCTCTTCCCTGTCACACGGCTGTACTTACCAAGTCAGCCTAATAGCTTAGTTAATTTGCTCCTTTTTTAATACCAAGTCAGTCTAAAAGCTTAGTTGATTTGCTGCTTATCTAATGTTCGACCGCAGTTGTAGTCGACGATAACTAGAATAGTAGGGCTTTGGCGTATGACTCCCTATCAAACTACACAGTCGCACCCACACCTATCTCGAACCTCAACTCTCTCACAAACCGCAAGCTACGAACGGGCAGCACGCCACTCAATCACGAACAGAAAGCTATCCGCACGACCACTTAGCAACTGGCACTACACCTATACCACACGCACGTCGCTTGCGTATACATTGTATGCCATACCTGCGAACAATATGGCTTTCAAGCGCTCCGTCTGTATCCACTCCGTCGTCGTCGTCGTCGTTCCTAGTATGGCTGGATGTTACCGTATTCTCCCCTTCTTGACCACGCTTGGCCTTCGACTGTCTTGAATCCAGGGCAGCACTCACCGTATCGCTATCTCCAACCTCTGCCATGCGAGCTGTTTGCGCGTTGGGTATTGAATCGGTACCACGTGGTCCCAGGGGGTGTTTCTGAAGCTTCGATGGCCTATTGGTATTACTTCGGATTGTCTTTCGGTTGGTACGCGGACGAGACCAGAGCAGACCATTGCATAGCTGACACTCGTCTCTGCGTGGGAATGATTGGAATGCGTTATGCTATGCTATGTTGTGTTGTGCTGTGTTGTGTTGTGTTGTGTTGTGGTGTGTTACATGGTTTGATAAGGTCAGTTATGACTACCCGTGTGTATACCGTTATCTTGCGCGAGTGGGAGTTTGTTTCGTATGCGTGTGCGAAGGGGCACACACTCTCCCGTACCATGCCACAATGCATAAACATAGTACGTACAGCCAGTGGAGTCTATCGCAAACGCAGTCTGTGCACTGGCGG